GTTTACAGTTCTTGATTGTAACCAAAAAATTGGAAGTCATGAGGGAAAAATAGTAACCATTCTAAAAGATGCCTCCATGATAAGGATAAATTTGCTGTATAAAATAATGTAATCTATGTGTTACATGTGTGCGTATCTGCGTATGTTTTTCTGCAACACACATTCATATGTATTGTTTAATTATTTTGTGCCAACCCCCTACTCTAAAATGGGCCTTGTTTAAAGCTGTAATAGTTCCCTTTTGGCCTAACTCGCTGTACCCTGATTGGTATCAGATGTAATGCTAGAAGTTGAAACAACACAGACTTCAGCCCTGCCTTTTCTCCAGAACCTTAATATATTATTTTCCAGCTTTTTCAGAAACACATCTTTCTTCCTCCATAGCCCATAGAAAGAAAGAAAGAAAGAAAGAAAGAAAGAAAGAAAGAAAGAAAGAAAGAAAGAAAGAAAGAAATAAATAAATTCTGAGGACATAACCAAAATATAAAAAATAAACAACCTTCCAGATGGTAAGTATAAACCTTTTTCTCAAGTTGTGTGCAAAATACCAGAACATATTTCTTTTTCTTAAATCAAGTATTTCTAATGGAAGAAAAAGCTCAGATGCAGGGCACGAATTCTACATCATTGAAGAGGATGTTGGCAAGATTCTCTCTCTCTTGTTTTGTAATTTTGCATCGTGCTTATTCTTTTCATTGCATTTCAATCTCAAATTCGCGTTCTACATCAGTTTTTTCCTCTGTCAGTTCTTTCTCAATTGCTTCAGCTGCAAAGCCTGATTCGGGAAGCTGCAAAGCTTGTTTCGGGGGGGGGGGGGGGGGACTTATCTGAACAGACAACTGAGCTCTTTCTCCTGGCTTAAAGAATGTCCTTATTCCTAAACACAATTCAAATAAGTAAGAAAACACTAGCTGAAAAAGGACCAAGTTGGACCTAACTAAAAAGTTTCAGGTTGCAAAACCCTTTGCCACTTACTGAAGGCATTTTCCGAAATTAAATTTTCTTTCCTTACCTTACAATCCCTACGCTTAATACTATAACATTAGCAAGAATTAGATAGCTCAGGCAGAAGGTAGACTGAAACAGCCCAGAACAACTTCCAAAGCAATAAATGCAGCAAATGACTCTCATTCGTACGACAATAAAACTTGTCAAAATTACACCTTTAATTACAGAGCGAGCTTACCGCTTTCCCATTATAGTAGTACATCAAAGAATTTCCGCCCATGCCTGGAATTGTGTATGCACAATACATGGTCTTGAATTCTTTTTTTCTCTCCAGTACCACTCTAACAACTTTTATTTCAAACTCGCTGTCCCTTTTTTCACAACAATTCCTTCAGTCGCATTTTCCCATATGGCCAGGCCAAGCATGGTGAATATGCAAAGCAGGAAGAAACCATTCCTGACGTTAGGGGTGCTGGGGAGGGGGGGGGGAGGGGGCGGGT